TTTTAGCGGGGGGGGGGGGGCGCGAGTAGGTACTGGGGATTGAACTCAGGGGCACCCTGAACCACATCCCCAGCCATATTTTGTATTTGATTTAGAGCCAGGGTCTTGCTGAGTTGTTTAATGCCTTGCTTTTGTTGAAGCTGGCTTTGAACCTGTCTCAGCCTCCCAAGCTGCTGGGATTACAGGTGTGTGCCACTATGCCGGCTCCAACTGTTTAATGTGTTTTTGAGAGTCTATGCACACACATGTGTGCACACTCATACACACACTTCCAAAATGGCTTCGTGGATACCATGCCATAACATGCTCGTCTTCATAACACGTTGTAATTATCTTTTCAACTTACAAATTGGTGACATTTTTATGGCCCCATCAGATTCATGCTATGGATTGTGCCACCTGCTTCCGTTGTTGGGCAGTGGGCTTGTTTTCAACTTTTCACTAATCCGGATTATGAGAGGCTAAGAGTCCACAAGGCTTCTGGGGTTTGCTCCATCTCTTTCAGCCAATGACTGCAGAATGTAGAATGTGAGGGTCTAGAATCTTTTTATGAAGCCAGAGGAAGATTCCCTAACTTTCCTGTGGTCCCCAAGTATATGGAGAGGGTAGGTAACAAGCTTCCATTCAAAGCCTTGGGTCCTGGGTGAGGACTAAGGCTGAAGACTCACTGTCCCATGGCAGAGAAGGACTGTAACCAGGATAGATGGCACACCTCATTTGACCCTGCTCCCAGTGCAGCCAGCCACCCTGGGCTCCTGTATCTGCGGGAAGCTTAGAGTAATCGATAGGAGCAGGATCGCATGGGCAGTATTTACAGAACACTACTTCCCTGGATAAAGCCTGGCTCCTCTCACTGATCATTAGCAATATTGACTGGTAAACTCATTTCATGCCAGTGGGACCAGCCAAGAAGCAAGACAAAAATGCTCAGGATGCTGTACTTCATCTGTGGATCCCCAAGGTCCAAGGGAAACCAAGTCTGAATCTGAGCCCAGGAGAGTGGCAGGAGGTGGTGATCTCCCAGCACAGAGGCCACCTAGCAGAGGTCAGCCAGCCTCTGATTCCAACCAGGGCTGACCGGCACCTCAGCCTCAGTGTAATTCTTGGTTCTGGAGACCAAAACCACTAAGATCAAGGATGTCCTGCTGAGCTGAATGACATGGGAAAATGACAAAATGCCACAGGAGACAAGCAGGCAAAGTATGGTAACCTGGCAGGGACACTTCTGGGCCACACTCATACCACACATTCCTGGCTGGCCGGGAGCCAGGTAGGGGCAGTGACTAAGCCTCCCCCACCTTCATAGGTCCCTGGACAGAGCACCCCAGTGGGGGTAGGGCAGGAAGTCAACAGAAATAGAAGAGCCGCTGCCCTTGGGGACCACAGAAGATGTGCTGGGCCCCTGATGCTCCTGCAAGCTGAGTTCCAGTCTCCAGGGAAAGCTAGGGGGAGACCTAAGTCTACTGCTAAGCAGGCCAGAGCTAGAGACCCAGGCCCCAGGTTGGGTTTGTCATTTGAAGCTTTGCAACCTCAGGCAAGGTTCTGAACCCCTCTGAAGCTCACCTCTCATCTTTAAGATGGCCCTAAGGAGGATGCAGTTCCCCAGATGCTGAGAGTGTGGTGGGCGGCCCTGCTGAGAGGACAGGAGAGCCCAAGTGTTCCAAGGGCCCACTAATGACTCAGAAACACTCTTGTCCCCTGAAGGGCAAAAGGCAGGGCAAGAAAAATGAAGGAGAAAAGCCCTGGCTTGTGCTTCAAAGTTGGGCTGTGGAGCATGGAGTGGGCCTGTCGGCCGCGGCCTGCCTTCCGGAGACTCCCCATTTCAGATGTGACATGCAATCAAGGCCCGATCACAATTGTTCCTTTCAGAGACAACAGGGTCTGCTCAGCCTCTCTGGAGACAGCCAAATGAGTAACTCAAATTGCCGGGCCCAGGCCTGGCCGTTAGCTAACCTCTCTCCCTGCACTCCCCTCCTCCGCTGCCGCTGCCACACTCTGCCCTCTCGCTGCTGGGAGGCTGGGAGGACTGTGCCCCCCACCCCAGGCTCTGGCTGACAGGCTCTGGGGAGGACCTCAGAAAGAATGAGAATTTTCCTGTCTCCTCTCGAGTGTTTGCCATTCCCCCTCTCACGGCTGATGGTGTGTGTGTGTGTTGTGTGTGTGTGTGTGTGTGTGTGTGCGTGTGTGCATGCACACACATCTCACCTCAGGATGAGAACCGCCTAACCTGCTGGTGGATGCCAAATGCCTGGGTCTGCAGGAGAACAGGGACGCAGGGTAGAGAGGTAACGGCCTCTCCTGGGATGTGGCTGGCTCCTTCCTAAATCCTCCGTGCTCGGGAATTAAAGTTGCTGATTCAATTGTACCAATCTCTCAGAGAAATAAGGCCTCCCTTACAATTGGAAAAAGAAGAAAAGGGCCAGGGTTAACCAGCAGGTGGGATGAATGCAGGCACTGCCCGGGGGACCTGCTCCCAGAAAATAAGATGAGCTGAAGGGGAGACGGACTGGGGATGGGGGTGCAGACTGGGGGAAGCGGCCAGGACACCAATGACGCCAAGGCTCTGAACCCAAGGCAGGCGGTGAGGAGGACCTAGCCATTGGCACGCTGGCTAATACTTAATAGTCCACTCCTCGGGGAAAAACAAATCAACCCTGATTTGTAGCACTGGTCCATTTTCAATTTCCACAGCCTAAACTGAAGTCACTGTCACTGTAGCTGATTTCAAGCAAGCACCACGAGGACCTCTGCACGCCAATGGCTGGGCCAGCTTGTGTGGCCCACCCAGGGAGGGTCGCGGGCCAAAGCTCAGGCTGCTTCCCTCCACGTACGCTGAGATTCTTTGGCATAAACTTACCCACTGGGGGATTGGCCCACGGTTTTGCTATCTGTATTCTTAGCTGTCTTATGTTTAATAATAACCATTCTTCTAGAAATTCCAAGTGAGCAGGCTATGCTAAGGGGAACTAGGGAAGGGGGTTCTGGGGCCTGGGGCAGCAGAGCACCATGCTTAGGATCCGGGGACAAACAGGTGAAGGAAATAAGAGGCACGTCTTCAGAGCTCAGCTCTGTCACACTTTAGTCAACTGTAGCTCTCTTGGCTGGGCTTGTCACTCTTCTCCAGAGGTAGCTACATGCATGCCCCCAGAGACACAGGGGGGGCTGGTTTTACAGCGTCTGCAGGGGCTGGAATGAGGTCTGAGCAGTGTATGTTCATGGTACTCCCAGAGACCCTCTGGCTGGGGCAGAAGGTGCTTGTTGATGGAAGATTCTAGTCTAGCTCAGTGGCTGTCTTCCCTGCTCATTGGAATCATGTGGAGGGTTTTAAAGAATCATGAACCCTGAATCCCACCATTAAAGATTCTGATTGAATTAGCATGGGATACGGTCTGGGACATGGTGCTTAAAAGCTTGCCAGATAATTTGAATGTCAGCAATTTGAGCACCACTGATCTCTTTGGTGAAGATTATGAGAGAATCTGGTGAAAATCCTTGCAGAGCATTTCCACCCTGGGATGCTCTACCCCACTGGCTCTCTGTGTGCGACTGCATCCCCATGGAGCCTCGGGAAACCTGCCTCATTACCCTCCACCATTCCCTCCTCCCCAAGGGAGCCTCCTTCCAACTAGTCACATGCTTCTGTCATAACCTCCCTGTGGCTTTCAATCTTCCTGCAGTTAATGTGTGAAGCCCTCCTTTCCCTGCTCAAAGCACTTGCTGAATAGCTGGGGATCTAGAGTGAGATTGCTTGCATTGGAATCCTGGCTCTGCCCACACGGCATGACCTTGACCAAGTTCTTTTTTTTTTTTTTTTTTAAAGAGAGAGAGAATTTTAATATTTATTTTTTAGTTCTCGGCGGACACAACATCTTTGTTTGTATGTGGTGCTGAGGATCGAACCCGGGCCGCACGCATGCCAGGTGAGCACGCTACCGCTTGAGCCACATCCCCAGCCCTTGACCAAGTTCTTTAACCTCCTTGTGCCTCAAGGTGGTAGGGAAGGTTAAACAAGAGCATCCTTGAAGAGAGCTTATAGAGGAAAGCTGAGCATAAACTGGACAGTCACCAAACACCAGCTAGTATGACCCCCCAGGTGCCAGGAGCCCTGCAAGAGCAGAGCATGTGCCTTGTTTATCTTTGTGTCTCAGCTCAGTGCCTGGCACCAAGTAGGACCTTCAGCCTGAACCCACGTCTGTGCCTCCGCCAGCTTCTCACATCTGATGAAGCCATCCCTGCCAGACTGGGCTCAAAGACCCAGAGCGCGAGGCTGCTCTCCAGCAGTCTAGACAGAGCCGAGGCGGGGGTGTCGGAGACTGGCAGGTGAACAGAGCTTGGAAGTGTTTTGTTGTGTTTTAAACAAGTGTCAAAGAATTTCTTACTGTTTGCTGGTGGATTGCCAGCAGATTGCCAACAGGATCCCGGAGAATTGGAAGTTCTGGTTTATCAAGGCTTCACCTCGCCACAGTGGTTGGCACACAGAGTGCCATTTAGGCAGAGGCAAAGTATATGAAATGTCTTTTGCCCAGACTGGGATTGCTAGTTTCCCATGGGTGGACGCGTGAGGGGCAGGGGCTGCCAACAGGAGCTGCTCTTGGCCTCAAGCAGGGGGGCTCCGTCTTATTTGTACTCACGGCTGTTGAAGCCTGTCTGCTCTCTCCCAGGGCCCCCTGTGGGCAAGGCCGCACAGCCAGCAGGTGCTCCCAGCACTAATGACTGCCTCCGCCTGAAGGACACCCGCACCAATTGTGCATCACCTGTGGGCACAATCCAGCGCTCTGTGGGTGCTGGGCCAGGGACTGCAGTGCAGAGGGGCTGCGTCTGCTGGGACGGAGGAGGCCACCAGCTGGGAGGGCAAGTCATCCTTCCCTGGGAAGTGGGCTGTGCTCAGGGGGAAATGCCAATCCCATGCCCAGGGAGGCGGAGCTGCCTTTCCCCTCCAAGACAGGAGACCCAGATCCAGGGACAGGAGAGAAGTGCTGTGGTTTGGTTTTGTCTTCCAGATGTGCCCACCCAGAGGGTCCCTGTCTAGTCACATCCTTGCCAGGCTTGGAGGCTGCACCATGGCCACCGCCTCTTCTCAGATACCAAGTGACCATCTCAAGTCCCTTTTACAGATGATGCATGAAAGACCGGGAGGGAAGGGAGAGGGACCCCCACTGAAGGATACGGAAATATCCTTTTAAACACATGTCCCAGACCCCAGGAAGAAAAGGAGGACAATGGGTTCCAGGGACAGAAGGAAAACATGGGCTCTGGACTCCCTCAATTTCCTGCATCTACAACTGTCCCCCCGACTGCCCAACTGACACATTCTGCTGTGAATCAGTCTCATTAAACCCTATAAAGCTCAGATCCCTATTGTAACCACTTGCCATTTTCTCTCTTGAAATTGTGCTTAATAAAGCATGGCTGATCCGTCGAGGTCTCTCTCTCTTTCTCTCTCTTTTTTTTCATTTTCCACTAACTGCCAGGTCCTGGCAGCAGATGCCATTCTGTTTTTTTGCTGTTGTTTTGTTCTGTGGTGCCGGGGATCAAACCCAGGACCTCACACATGCTAGGTAAGTGCTCTACCACGGCGCTGCGCCCAGCCTGCCATTCTGTTCTGCCCCAGCTGCTGGCTTTAATCTTTTACACTACATCAGGGTCACTGCGGGACCGTGGGCAACTCCCCAAGGTCTTGCCCAAGTGTAACAGTCCATGATTCGATTCGGCAGGCCCGGCTCCGACCTGCCCTCCGTGTCTCCCCTGTGGTCTGTTATTCTCCCCATTTTCCAGAGGAGGACTGGAGACTCTGAGAGACTGAACACCTTGCTGGAAAGATAAGCCCACACTCCCTTGAGCCTCTGCAGTTAGGATCAGTCAGACAAAGCTGGAGTGGTGGCAGGTGTGGGTTTCTGCCTCAGTGTCCCAGAGTCACGGCCAGCTGCAGCAGCCTCCAGACTCCCCCACCGCAGCTCTGCTAAACGTCTCGGCCTCCAATGTTGCCCCATGGCCTCCCGTTCTCTGCCTTCCTGATGACGGGAGTCACTCCCTCCACTGAAGCTTTCCACCGGTGGCTGTCTGAGTAACTGGTGGTCCAGGCTGCAACCCCTGCGATGGCATCGATGCTCTTGTAAGCATCTAAGTCCCCACATATCCCTTTCACTCAAAACGCCACGTGGCTTCCGTTCCCTGGTCTTCCTGAGCAGGTGCCTGGGGGATCAGGCGCAGCACATGGGGAAGGAGCTTTGTAACCAGAAGGCATCACGTGTGCCTGTGGGGGTCCTCATAATTATCCACGCAGCCATGACTTAAGGGGCTCCTTTAAACACACACTCACATGGGAAAGAGTTGACAATCTTCTACAAGTTCACAGAAGGACCTGCCACTTCATAACAGGGCACTGCCACCGTTGGATCCTCTGACGAGGGCGGGGAGGATACGGATGAGGACTATTCTCACTTCTCAGCTGAGGAGGCATTTCCAGTGACAGGACCACATGCAGATACTAAGTGGCAAAGCTGGAACCCGAACATAGATCTTCAGGTCCCCAAGCAGTACCTTTCCCACCATCCCCAAAGTGCCAAGTGGGAAGTCCCTCACCTGTCGATTACCTCCTCGGCAGAGATGATTTGCCCACCCTCTCTGTGAGCAAATGGGACCCAAGAACAGCAGCAGAAGTGACAGATCAGCGTGCTTCAAGTTGTGTGTGGCGAGGGGGCGGGGCTGGTGCACAATTGCACTGGGGCCAGCCACTCACAATCCTTCAGAAGGACAATGGTGGCAAGCTCTCCCTGGCCAGCTCACCCCTGCCCTACACCCTGTGGCCCACTGGTCAACCTCCCTGAGCAGCATCTTCTGCCTCCTGTGTCCTGACGCCTGGGCACGAGCAAGAAGTGGTCCAGCAGGCTGGAGGGCAAGGGGTGAGGGAGGCGGCGTGCAGCCAGGATTGGAGTGGGCCAAGTGGCAGGAGGACGGGCACATGGCGGGAGGTGACCACAGCAAACCCTGACCACAGCCCTGAGTCCAGGGGAGGAACCGTTGTCCCTGCCTGCAGATGAGACAAGGCAGGCTGGCAGAGATGGGCTGGCCTGTTTGTGCTCATGAATGTGCCTGCTGGGCCTTCAGACCTGGGCCCTTCCTGCTATCAAAGTCCAGGCAGGGAAGGCGCCCGGCAAACGCTGGCTGTGAAGAGTGGTCAGGGTTGAGTGAAGATGGACGAAGAGGCTTTCACTCAGCAGGGGCCATAGCCTGTCAGGAGAGGAGCAGAAGGCAGAGGGGAGGGGCCCAGATGTCTGCTTTTGTATCACCATGGGGGGGTTGTCTCTCTTTTTGTGCCACCCGGAGAAAAGACAGGCAGGCAGGCCCCGGGGACACACTGACAAGCCTTTTTTACCCACGGTGTAGCTGCCTCGTGGGCCCAGGGGATGTTCTGAGAGCAGCTGGTGCCAACAGATCTTAAGCTGCATCCACAGGGTGGCAGATCTGAGGACTCCCGCTCTGTCTCGCTCTACTGCCATCCGGCCTGGGAGGAGGCAGGGCTTTGGACCTGGGAGGATTTGTTTTAGTCAAGATCCCTACTTCTTGCTGCCCCATGCTGCTGAGGGCTGCTGGGTCTACAAGGTGGGCAGCCAGCGGGACCTCTCAGCGGAGCTGAGGCCATGGCGTGGTCTACTTTAACATGATACCTGGGAGGTGGTCTCTCCCACAACACCTTTGACCAAGCAGGACCAGGACTTGGCTAACCCTCAAGCAATACAACGTAGAAAATGGTGCAGCTCAAAAGAGGCGATGAGTCAGATTTCACATGCAGTTTGTTTCACAGTCTGAGCAGAGGCTGCGGACAGAGGAGCTGTAGGTGCCAGAGGCCACAAAGAGTGCCATGTGCTAATCCACACTGACCGGACCAGTCGCCTGGGGTGTGGGGGAGGCAGAGGAGGGCAAGAGAGCAGCGACTCTGCTTTGGCCTTCTTAAGAGCCGACAGCCTGACATGGCAGGCAGGAAGCTGCAGGAAGAACTGTTTGCTTTTGCCAGCAACCCCTTCCCAGCTACCAAGGCCTTGCAGTGTGACCCCCTACCAGGGAGCGCAGTTATCCCTGCACCTGCAGGACTCTGGCCATCCCTAGAGAGAGTCCATCCCTGTGCACCTGCCAATTTTATGGGGCAAACAGTTGTGAGGAGTCTAGCTGGCATGTGGCTTCGCTCATTCTTCCTTACAGTCATAGAGATTATGATTCAGAAAGTACGAGAAAGAACCTAAGGATATGCTTTTTTTTTTTGGTACTGGGGATTGAACTCAGGGGCACTTGACCACTGAACCACATCCCCAGCCCTATTTTGTATTTTATTTAGAGACAGGGTCTCACTGAGTTGCTTAGTGTCTCACCATTGCTGAGGCTGGCTTTGAACTTATGATCCTCCTGGCTCAGCCTCCTGAGCTTCTGGGATCCCAGGCGAGGATATGCATTTTAATAGACACTTGGGATCATGGGGTCATGGGCTCTGAGGAACATGCAGCCGCAAATCTGCACTTAGGAGGAGCAGTTGCACTTGGGAGGATGATGAGGCCATGAACAATGAGCTGCCTCCAGATGCTGCTGTTTTAGGAAAATGCCCTGAATGAGCTCTTCTGAGTGTCATGCACACAAACGGCCTGCGGATCTTGTTCAGGTGCGGACTCTGATTCAGGAGGCAGAGCCTGAGGTTCTGAATGTCTATCAAACTCCCAAGGGATACCTGGGCTGCTGGATGATACTTTGAAAAGCAAGACCCAAGCAGGGTTTCTCAAACTTCATGCCTCCAAATCACCACAAGGGAGACGTGGCTTGTTGACAGATTTTTGCTGCACAAAAATCCACAAGTTTTGGATTGATAGGTTTGTTTTGGGGCCTAAGAATATGCATTTCTAACCTGTTTTCAGCTGCTGCCGCTCTTTTGTGATCCCCACTTTGAGAAATACAGGCAGGGACAATGACAAGTGAAACATTACAAGAGCCAAATGAAGCAATTGAAGCCCAAAACACCCCTTCGCAACACAGAGGCTCTTTCTTTATGTGCTGTTGCTCCAGTGATTGTTTTTTTTTTTTTGTACCAGGGATTGAACCAGGGGCATTTAACTATTGAGTCACATCCTGGCCCATTTTATTTTTTTATTTAGAGACAGGCTCTCACTGCGTTGCTGAGGACCTGGACAAGTGGCTGAGGCTGACTTTGAACTCGCGATCCTCCTGCCTCAGCCTCCTGAGCCACTGGGATTAGAGGGGTGTGCCACTGTGCCCAGCTCTGGTTATTAAATTCTTAACTAGAACTTGTTTTCCTATGCTCTTTTGCTCTCTCTGGAACAGGGAGCGTGCATAGAGGAAAGAAAAACAGAGTATCAAGGGCTATGGAAAGTAAAATTCTCATTTAGTTGAAATAGTCTCCTGCTTAGCAAAATGAAGTCTCCCTAATATGTGATTTTCTCTTCACTCCCACTTGTTCCAGGACTGAATTGCTATGTAGCAGCAAGTACTTATGAGCAAGTGGGGAGAACTAATGACTCTCCTGTGCCCACCTTGAAGCATATGTGTCAGCTAGTGTGGTGAAAAGGCTGATTTCCCAGTCTTCACAGGATGGGTGACCCATTATGACCCCATGTCATCACTCACAGTCAGACTAAATGCCTCACCTCCTCTGAGACCCTCCCTCATGCTCTGGGGAGCCGCCTCCCACACGGTCACATAGTCAGACACCCCCTGGCAGGGGCATCCTCTCTCTGGCAGGCCATGGCACGTCTCGCCTCCCTGCAGCTATGACCAGGTCCTCTCTGGTAGCCTCGTATTGCTCACAGTAATGCTGTAAGCACCCTGATGTCAGGATCTGTCACTCATTGGTCTTTATACCCCTACTTGGACAGAGATTGCCTTTCACCATGTAGTCTTGTTCATAAATACTTAAAACCTTCCATATATAGTTGGCTCTCAGTCTCTGTGTTCTGCATCCAAGATTGAGCCAACCAGAGATGGAAAATATTCAGAGAAAAATTGCATCAGTACTGACAGGTACAGCTATTTTCCTTGTCATTATTCCCTAGACAGCGCAGTAGGAGAACCATGTATATAGCACTTACGTTGTATGTGCTCCAGAGAGTATTTGAAGTGCACCAGAGGGTATGCTTAGGTTATATGTAAATACTTGCATTTTATATAAGGAAATTGAGTATCTGTTGGTAACCTTGGGGGTCCTAGAACCAAACCTGTGGATACCAAGGAATGATTGCATCCTTCTGGTTTGGAAAATAAAAATCCACATCTCAGAAACTTGTAAGTGGCTATTGTCTGCACTACACTACAAACCTGCTAAGCTACAAACCCTTTTCTCCCTCTTAAGAATGTCCAAACCAGCCAGGTGCAGTGGCCCATGTCTGTAATCCCAGCAGCTCAGGAGGCTGAGGCAGAAGGATCACAAGTTCAAAGCCAGCTTCAGCAACTTAGCAAGGCCCTAAGCAACTCAGAGAGACCCTGTCTCTAAATAAAACATAAAAAAGGGCTGGGGTGTGGCTCAGTGGTCAAGTGCCCCTGAGTTCAATACTCCCCCTGCAAAATGTCCAAAGCATATAGCCATGTCCTGACAGTCCAGTCTCCAAGATCCCAGGAAGCTGCTCATTCCCATGGGAGGCATCTGCTGCTGGGTGCCAGCTGCAGGAGGTAAGAAGCCCCCTGACCTGCTCCATTTCCTGTTCAACTGAACAGCCCCCGACCTTCAGACCAAGAGCATTTGGCCAAAGGTAGAGGGAATGAGAAGACATGAGGAAGGACTTCCAGATAGAGAACACAGGCTATGCAGGGGGCGGGGGACAGGGGTGAGAGGAAGACTGCATGAGTGGTTGGGAGCATGGGCCGGGGAGGACAGGTGGCTTGGCTGGCCAAGAACAGACCCCCACATCTCCGTGAGACAACGTGTAAGAGTACCCTTTGATACTTTTCCGCCATGACCCATAATAAGAAGTACAATTTTTCATCATGACCCAGAATACATACCTGTGAATGCACACAGTAAAACTGAAATTAAAAGGCACAAAATAGTAATTATTATGCTCCGTGTGATGTACCCTGGCATTTTCTATTCTGCTCCATTTAGAAATTGATGGTCTCAACCCACTAATTTGACATTACAATTCACTCGTGGATCACAACCTGCAACTTGAAATAATCCGCCCTTTTTGTGTTCCCACTATTTTAGAGGAGCTTCAGGGCTTTCAACTTCCTGCTCTACGCCATGCTCCCAACCCGCTGAGCACCTGCTGAATGCCAGAGGCTCACTGCCGCGGGAACGGGGAACAGGCAGCTCCCGAGAGGAGAGGACACGACCACCCTCACACAGAGAAGGGTCCCACATACAGACCAGAGGGGTGACTGCACGGCTGGCAGCAGCAGAGGCAGCCACATGTCACAAGGACAAGAGACGTGAGGGCACTCAGCCACCCTGAACACCAAGGACACGGAGGAGTCTGTTCCTTGCACCCTGCAGAGGACCCAGCCTTGTTCCCTCCAGGGAATGAAGCCCTTGATCCTCCTCTTCCCCCAAAATGGCCCAAAGGTGGAGGAAGATCAGAAGCAGCACTATTCAGGAACAGAGGGTGACCGGGGCAGGCCGGAGGCTCCTTCAGGAGGTCCCTGGGGGGAGTCCTTCTGATGGACCTGGGGGCTTGCTTCAGAGCCCCCGTCTCTTCTCTACTCACTGTTCTAAAGCTTCATGACAACTCATTGTCTCAAAGTTTTCTCTCATAAAAATCTGGTTTTATTTTTCCAATGCCCTGAGGACTCCGAAAAGCAAAGCCACTGAAGGCGCCCAGCCTGCTGCTGATTATCTCAACGAGATCCTGCAGGAGATGGGGACAACCTGGAAAAGTCCAAAGGGCTTGGCACAGTCCTCACCACCGCTGTGGCTCTAGGCCCCCACCCAGTGCCCTGCGCTGCTTGCCCCGTCCACGGGGCTGTGAAGGGTGGAGCGCGGCCCTCTTACTGGTTTGGGAAGAGAGAAGCCACCCAACGAACCAGAACGGATCAGGGAGAGGGGGCAGTGGGGAGAGTCCAACCAGGGGACAATGACTGCCTCCATATCCCTCTGGGGGCCGAGGGCAAACAACCATGGCCTCCTCCCTGGGGTCTGCTGAGCATCTGCTGGACAGGGGCAGCTCCCCCAGCCCTGCCCCTGTTCTGGCATCTCCATAGACCCCAGAGCTGGCCCAGACTGGGCTGCAGGAGGCTCGATTACCTGATCAGGTGTGCACAGGCACTTGGCCATGAAGGCTGGTGAATCATCTGTCAAATGGGGGTGATCGCCCTGTAGATGCCCAAGTATGCACAAGCGTCGTGGGTAACCTACAAGACGCTTCTGTGAGTAGTCATTACTGTCACTGCAGAAGGCAGGGAGCCAAAGCAGCCTCTCTCTGCTGAGGGGCTGTTGCTGGAAGCAGTAGGAGGTCTGCCCCCCAACCCCACTGCACACTTTGGTGAAAGTCACTTCATGAACTGCAGGCAGCACAGATGCCCACCCCACCTGCTCCCCTGCTGAGGGACAGTCCCCTTCTCATCTCTGTCCTTCTTGGGGTGGTCTTATCTTTCAAGAGGAAAGATGAGAAGAAATCAAGGCACAGAGAGCTGACGTGAGTCTTCCAAGGCCACAGTCGGGAAGTGGGAATGCCCCAGGCCGGGTCCTGTCCCACCCTCCTGCCTGCCAGCCACATGTTCAGCTCTGGCCTTGGCATGGCTACTAAGGCCCTGCTGGGTTCTGTCCTACTGAGATAAGCAATGGAAGGAGGCAGAGGCACAGGAAGGGCCTTCGTGACAGAGAGGCATGGGAGGGAGGACCCGGCAAGGAGGGCCTGGCCAGAGTGCAGGGGCCAAAGGGCCCAGCAGCCAGAGCCTAGAGGCCAAGAGGGAGCACTTCTGGGCATGCTCCTTCTGCTGCGCAGAGGCCCAAGTGACTGGTGAGCTGGCCCAGGCACAGGCTGCTCAGGGACCCTGGCCTTGGAGCTCAACACTGAACCACAAGTCCCTCCCCAGAGGCTTCCCAGAGGTCAGGCAACAGCCCCAGAACCTCACAGGTCAGCAAGGCCTATGGCCCTGCCCGCAGCATCCCTGACAGATGGGCACTCACCGCCGGCATGAGGCACAGGCCACTCCGCACCAGAGAGCCCAGACCACTTGAAAGGCTTTGCTTTTAATCAAATGACATAATGACTGTAAAAGGACTTAGGAAAACAGGAGCAAACTGAAGGGGATTAGAATTAACACCGGTGACAAGAGAACGGCATTAAAATTAGAGGCAAAATGGGAGGGTGAAAGGGGTCAGGGCAGCTGAAGGAGGGGCGGAGGAGGAGAGGAGACCCTGCGACCCAGCGGGCGCCTGCTTCTCTCTGGGGAGATTAGGCTGCTAGGCGAGAGGATGCGTCCCTCTGCAAGGTCCTGAAGGAGGCAGGCGGCAAGGTGTATAATTGCTGCCGGAGGAGGGAGGAGGGAGGGCCGCTCCTCGGCTCAGCAGAACCCAGCCCCCGCACAGCTGCTGTTTGCAGAAGGCACACATCAGACACCATGGGTGCCCGATGGTGAGGGCCTGGGAGGCCGGGCTCAAAGAGGATCGTGGTGAACCCTGGGAGGCTGTTCTGTCCAGTGGCCCCTGTTTCGCAACAGGGAGGAGCTCACTGTGAAGGCGGGAAGGCAGTGGGAGTCAGTCGTACAGAGGGCACCAACTGAAGAGTCTTGGAGACATCCGGAGACTGAGAGAGGGACCGCCTGTGGTCCACAGGGGCCCAGCTGGTTCAGGGACACACTGTAGGAAGCTCTGGCTATCTACCTCCCAGTGAAAGCCAGTGCCCAAGTCATCACCTGGCAGGTGGCAGGACCACACACTGGTCACCCTCCCAGGTCCACTACTCTTTGCTCAGGTGTCTTGGACCAGTAAGCCCACGCTTCCCCTCATGCCTGTGACAGCCCAACTCCAGAGCCCTGTGCCCTGCAGGGCCTAACGTGGCAACTCCAGGTCAGAGGGTGGCACCCACTCACCCACGATCTCATTCTCCTCCAGATTGATGGTCTCCAGTGAGGGCAGGGTGGTGAGCTGCTCGGGGAAGTCTTGAAACTGATTCCGAGACAGGTCAATGACCTTGAGGTGCTGCAGGCTGCCCACCTCAGTGGGCAGGCGGTGCAGGAAGTTCCCCTCCAGGTGGAGCTCTGCATGGGGGAAAGGAGAGGAGGTGAGAAGGGAGCTGCCCCGACACTGCGGGACTGCTGCCGGTGGTGGCCTAGGCTCAGCAAGGAAGCCCCAGGCCCCAGAGGAAGTCCACTAATTGGCCCACTCCACGTCTGCTGACCTGCGGAAAGAGTGATGTTCCCACCACTGCCCGGAACCTGCCATCATTCCAGCAGAAGCCACCTGGGCAAAGAGCCAGGATGTGCTGCTTCCCATCAGACAAGGCCTGGATGGGGCGGGTCAGGATGGGCAGCCCCCCTAAGCAGCCCCACTCATCAAGACCCTCTTTGCTCCAGGGGCCACCAAGGGTAGCCAGTGTTTCCATGTCATGTGTCCTTGCTCCCTGCCCAGTCACAGGCAATGAGCCTTGGCCGTATTCCTGCCCCAGAGCCGCTGCTGCGAAAGCTGGCCAGCAGCCCATAGTGGAACCTGCGGGAGAGGGGATGGGCCAGCGGGAGTCCTCCACTGGGAACCTGGCCCAGGCAGTGCTAAGGTGGACCCCGGTGGAGGCTGAAGCGGAAATGTCTGAGATAGAGGCTGGGGAGGCCATAGAGACCCTGTGCAGCGAGCGAGCAGGGTGAGGGGCAAAACCAGGGTCAGTGACACAAAGGAAGGATAATGCAGGGCTACAAGATGGGGATCCGGAGTCCCCACTGCCTGGGTGCAGACCCCAACTGCGCACGTACAGCCGTTCACGTAGAATGTCACTCGGCCTCAGTTTCCTCATCTGAACAAGGGAGCTGATGCTCATCTCTGCCTGGTAGGGCTGCTGGGCAGGAGTCACAGAGCAGGGGTGACGAGCCTCAGGGTGGGGTGTCCTGTGCGCCATCTTGAAAGGCTTCATCATTTTGCCCTCGTAATTTTGTAAGGAGTGCTAGGGTCACAGTGCTGAGCTCAGACCTGGCCTGCCTTCCTGCAACAGGCCCTTGGCAGCTGCTCCCCTGTTCCCTGGTGCCCCAGGACATACCTGGCCTCCCCCTTCCCCTCCCTGCTCTGTGACTCTTGCGACCCACCACTCCCAGCAGGGAAGGTCCAAGTCAGGCCTATAGGTCTGGTGCTATATCTGGGTGGAGCATGGTGACAACTGGTAGCCTCTCCTGTCCAGGGCTCAGGGACAGCAGCACCTCGGTAAGCTTGGTGGGTGACCCGCTGGAGGATGAGTCTTGGACGGAGTGAGCCTCTCACCCACCCTTGACCACGTCCTGGCAGGTCCTGATTCCCAGGTTTAAAGATCCTTGGAGTTGCCCATCTGCTATGGCTTAGGGTGGGGGAAACTTAGGAAGGGGAGACACCTGGATCAACTTCCCCAACCACCCCTGGCCAGGGAAAAGAACAGTAACCTAACATCTGGTAGGAGCAAACACCTAGCCACCATCAGACCTGAGCGCAAGTGTGCGTGTGGGAAGGGGGCTGGGCACTTGTGAGTGTACACCAACTCTCTTCCTCCTTCCGCCCTCCTGAGGTCAGTGTCAATCCCCCTGTTCAGATGAGGAAACTGAGGCCCAAATGGGTCGTGAACAGCTGAGGATGGCACTGCTGGGGTTTGCCCTCAGGCAGCGGGGACTCCAATCCCCCTCGAGTTGCTCCTTCTGGCCCACTCAAGGCACCCCTGGAAAGGAGCCACACAGCACAAGCCGTATAATTTCTTGATTTTACATGCTGGTTAAATGCTCTGATAATTGCACTTAAAGCCAGCATTCTAAAACACAAAGACGAATGGCAAAAACTCACGCTAAGTTTTTATTTTTCCTGGCTTTGAATGACAGGAGATAGCAAATGGAAAACACCCCAACATTCTAAGGACAGACAGCAGAAGAAAGGGAAAAGCTTCCTGTGGACTCTTAAGGCACTTTTCCCAGAACAAGAATCCCCCGTCTTTGCTCGTGCTCATGCCGAGCTCCGTGATTAAAGCCTGGCTTGCAGAGTCACTCCGAGGGTTCCCCACAGTGAGCAGAACCCCTGCCTCCTCCCCAGGGCCTACACACACACACACACAGAGGACAGGCAGGAAGTGCATCTGATTCATCTTGTCCCTACAACCAGCCTCCTGCAGGGTACCTTGAGGTCACTCAGCAAATGTTTGATGAGTCATGACTCTTCTCAAACATAAGGGGGGGGGCCTGGAGTGCCCCCTGCCGTCCCATCCTTGGGGACATCCTGAACTCAAGTTCCATCGGATCACCCAGGTTGCCTTCAGCAGTCAGGTTCTGAGATAACCCCACCCCAATCAGAAAGCACCCCATCCAGGGCACCATCAGAAGGTCCCAGGGGTCGGTCGAGGTGACCCTGCACAACATCTAGTCTGGTGTTTCCAAGTGTGCCTTTGCCAACAGCATTTCCTTGAGCACTCCGTGCAGGCTGCTGCCTCAGAGCCTTGAACTTGAGGTTCCCTCTTTTAAAATGCTCAGGACCCATTTACATACAAGGCTATCTGTTGTGTCTTCACTGATTAAAGACAAGTCGCATCATCTGTGTCTTTACTTAAATGTCTCCCTGCTAAATCCCCTCCCCCTGGTTGCCGTCCCCTTCCCCTGCAGAACTGACCTCAGCAGTGTCCACTGCTTCCTCTCATATTGACCTGCTTGGACACAGTCCGCCTCCTCCTGGGAACCCAGGCTGCACACACACACCAGGCTTTGCCCCAGTTGTAGAAAAACACAGCCCCCGCCCAGTCCACAGAGGGCTCTCCATAAATATTTGATGAGCACACAAATGAACACATCGATGAATTTCAGCACTAAAATTTCTGCCTCACGTATACCATCATTCTTCCTTAAATTGATTTGTTCTTTTTTATTTATACAAAAAGAAAAAATTGTTATTGCTTTCTCTAAAAATAATGTTGTTCAGTTCTCACTGGACACCGTTGCTGCAGGAAGCATCTGGGCTCCAGGCAGATGATCCAGGTGGATAGGGGGTGAGGAGAGCACATTCCAGGCAGGGGCAGCTGCTCTGCGGAGGCTCTCAGAAACCACTTCCCCCTGAAATGGGCTCTCCATGAGAACAAATTCCGATTTCCTGGCTCGTGGGTGTTTCTTGAAGCTTTCATGTTCTAGGAACATGTGGCCACCATCTGTGTGGCTTGGCTGCCCACGACACCTCCAGTCCCCAGTCCACAACCTGTCTGCCATCGAAGCCTGAAACAGGCTATTTAGGGAGCCAGGCTGGCCCGGCCCGGGCGGCGGTCCTGGGAACTGAACCCAGGGGTACTCAACCACTGAGCCCCATCCCCAGCCCTTTTTATACTTCATTTAGAGACAGGGTCTCACTGAGTTGCTGAGGGCCTCGCCAAGTTGCTGAGGCTGGCTTTGAACTCGTGATCCTCCTGCCTCAGCCTCTTGAGCCTCTGGGATTCCAGGTGAGCGCCACCGTGCCCGGCTCACAGGGCATTTCTGAAGACAGGATAGAGCTCTGCTTGCAGGTGTTCAGTGCTGCAGACCAGGCAGTAGCCAGTGTCCCCGAATGACCAGGCTTATTTTCATTTCCATATTTGGGAATATCAGCGTGCTTATGTCCCCACACCCTAGCCCTCTCTCCTCCCTCCCCAGAACCTGCTGTGCTCTGCTCGATCTCATCTACTGGCTTCGCAGATGTCCAGGGCACAAGGCCCATGTCCACAAGTGAGGGTGTGACCCCAGGCCCAGGGAGAGAGCCCCCCTGCACCTTCTTCCAGGGCTCACGGAGAGGGGCTGGACAGCATGGGGGTGACATGCAGGCTCTGGAGCCAGATGTCCTGGGGTTCAAAATCAGACTCTGCCACCTCCTGACTGTGTAGCCTCAGGCGAGTTGTTCATTTATCTTTGCCTCAGTTTCTTCAACTGTAAAAGGAGAATGGTAATCGACACAGGGTTGTAGTGCTGTTACAAAAACAGGCTTTCAGAAGGGCTGGCTCACAGTGAAGCAGTAAGCACACAGAACAGAAATCAGATGGACAGGCAGGTAGATACGGCCCCTGAGAGAATGAGTAGCCTGGTTAGTACTCAGTTTCCTACTAGACTCGAATCACTGACTGCCTGAGCTTAGGCTCAGAAGAGAAGAACGTGCTCTTTGCTGGAAGCTTTAGTAAGCCCCAGGCCAGCCTGGGCTGCGTGGGAAAGCCCCTGCAGGCGCCAAGGCACTAGGGAGCAGGGGTTGGCAGTGAGCAGATAAACGTGGCCACACCATTAGCCTGAGGGGTCTCAGAACCTTCTGGCTCAGTCCCCTCAAGAAGAAGAGGCCAGACCCCACAGCTCAGGAGGGGGCCGGGGGAACTGGTGGGTGGTGGGGAGTTTGTTACCTATAATTTCCTGACATGTTCAGAATTCTTATTAAAAAAAAAAAAAAAGATCAGGGGCGCAGGCCGGTAATCCCAGCTACTCAGGAGACTGAGGCAGGAGGGCCACAAGTTTAAGGCCAGTATAGCAATTTAGCAAGAATTTGCTTCAAAATTAAAAAGTAAATAAATAAAAGGGCTGGGGATGTAGCTCAGTGGTAAAGCGCCCTTGGATCCAATCCCCAGCACCAAGAGATAAAGAAGGAAAACAAAACAAAACAAAAAAGATGGCCTTTATCACACGACTCAGGTGGAGTCTGATCATAACCCCTAAGTGGCTCGGAACACAAGCACCTCCTCCCGAAGGTGGACTCCCGGGGCATTGCGGGAGCTGCCCCTGGGCCTGGCCTGGACTGTGGGTGTTCCCGAGTACGCGGTGCCTGTCTCCATCCATGGGTTTACCTCCCTTGGTTCTGTCTCTCTGGAGAATCCCAGGGGTGCTCTCTGGAGGTCTCAGCGGCCTGACCACAAGGTCCAGAAGCGTAGCCTGACCACAAGGACCTGAGGCAGCGTCCGGGCTGGGTGGAGCCTCTCTTCCCTCCCAGGGCCTGGGGCAGGGACTTCCTGCCACGGATCAGCACAGGGAAGACAGAGGCAGGGCCACCTCATTAGGAAGCTTAGAGCCAAGAGGCTTGGTTCAGTGCTCTGGAGATGAGAACCCGGGTCACA